TTATATATATATATTCCACGGGGGGGAAGCCAGGTGGGAGGGCGGGAGGGGGATCCCCCTTCCCCGTCAGGGAGATAAACCACAAGTCGTCGGGGAGAACAACAAAATTGTGTATTTTCTACATAAATAGTAGCCTCTAAAATCGATTACAGTAAATAAGAATTTGAAACCGATTATTAATCATAAGCATACATTTTATGGTTTCGCCTTCCTGGAACACTTTCGAGAGATCAGACTACGCCCACTATTTTTTCGTCCCCTACCCCGTCGAAAAAATTCTGGCATATATTTTTCTGAGCCTAGCACACTTTGTTTGATTCTCATTGCTTTTTATGTTGGTCATATACAGTATGTAATCATATGTTAAGGAAATATATTCAGACCTTGTTATACAGATCTGAGTAAACAAAATTTACTAGATTTACAAAAACACGAAAACGTCATACAATTTGTAATTAAACATCAAAAAATGTACTGTATAATGTATTTAATTTAATACGCAGTATAATTAGATAATGTTTATGTAAATATTAAAGTAAATAAGTGCAAACTGTATATTTATTAAACGGACCTAGGCCTAATGTAGGTACGTTTATATCTGCGGAAAATTTATGATTGTTGATTTATAATAATTACTTTTTCTTCTGGCCTATCATTACAGTTGCAAAAATCGATTAAATTTAAAGCATTGAGGCCTAACCAAGCCAAGCCTGCGATAAGTAATATTCAGAACACAACCCAGTCCCAACCTACAATACATTGGTAGCCATACAATGAATGGTATGTTCATGACGGCTTTTGAAAGCTCCACGTAGAAATCATTGCGTTTACGCGGCGGCAAGTGGGAACCGTATCCATTTTCTTACGTTGCGTCACGTAAGAAGTGTAAATTCAACTTTTTGTAAGGAGGGGGCATACGAAATTGCCGGAAGGGCATTTCCTTACGTTTGCGTTGCGTACGTTGCGTTGCGTACGTTGCGTTGCGGCAGTTTTTCTGCAAGTTGGAAACAAGCTTAATATTGAGTACCGTACAATACAAGTACGTGGTACGCACTACTTCATTAATGGAGTGTCGCAGATGCAAGGCCTTTATTATATAAAATAATATGAAGTGCGAGCGTTCATTTTACGCCTTTAGTTGTTAGATCTTGACCAGTTTGGCGAATCCCAATTTTCCGACTGCAAGATTGCCGACTCCAATCTTCCAAAACTCAGTCTAGTGTTATATTAGCTTGCAGACCCAACAATCCGAATCCCAGTTTGCCGAATGCCATTAATATGTAGGCCTACTCATACCTTGCTAAATGTTGATCTACTGTGCTAAGATGGGAAATGAAGGAAACCTATTGTTTAAATTTAGAGATAATTAGCTACTAAAACCTAAGCAAACAACACGACTTTAAGATGTTTAATGTATGTTAAGTTTATAATCAGCTGAAAAAACCATGCTTATTTAGTTAAAACTCGATATTTTCAGTTTAAAAACCTTAATCTCACATTGTCTGCAGTACGTGTACTTTACTGCATGTAGATAATGTAGTATCCGATACCGCTCCCTAACCAGTCCCAAATTTCCAACTATATGGTAGTAAGGTGAACACAAATGGAAATGTAGCATTCGGGAAACATGATTTTGCGATTTGGTAGTAGGTATTAATTACTGTGAATCGGTAATCTGAGCGGATGCTACAGCACATAAATCAACATACACATTACAGTAATTAGAATATGTTCCGAAGTTACTTTTTACCTTTGCAAGTAACTCACCCTGGCATAGTATCCCGTGATATTTGAGCATGATTTTTGATGTTTGAACTTCATCGAAGTTGAGAAATCTGCTTTTGAGTGTGCAAAAAAACAAACTTTCGTGGAACGCTGTCATAAACACCGTTGACCAGTCTATTAACAGGTCAATGTCTGTTTAATTTATAGCCCTACATTTATAGCTCTGCCAGCCGTCACATAATCGATGCAAACATTGTTTATCTTGTCGTTCACTCGGTTCGTACACACTTATGATTATTCAATCAGGACTTGCACCATTATAACGATATCAAGAATGACACAATACTTGGAGGTATTAGAGCTATAAAGTTATATTTAAAATCAAATAGTAGAGTACACCGGAACGACAAGGGTGTAGGAAATGGGGGTATGAATGGGCCTAGGTCACCCCCTTTTTTATTATCAAACTAAAAGGTAAACTTATGAAGGCAACATGTAAAACATTTCTTAAAAGTTGTATTATATTATTTTTATATTTAATTTTAGATTTTCTTGATACTATGTACCTAATGTTTTCTTTGATTATTATTATTATTATTATTATTATTATTATTATTATTTTAAATAAAATTGTTAAAACAGAACAGGCTATCAATAACACAATAATGGAGACAGTTGACAGTACAATATTTTAATTTACTTTAAAAATGTAGCCATGTGCTTACTAGATTAATCAAATGAACTTGAGGAAGCTATTTGAATTTTTGAAATAAATTAATGGATATTTGCCACATTGAGAAACTGTGAATTCAGTTGAACTTGACTATTGTCATTCGTTCCCACATCTTCAATTTACGAAGGGAACTAAAACTTCTCTCATTGACATTATATGTAGTATATGCTATATAAACATCACTAAAATCAATTTCATTTCTGTTACCATCATACTTCACAGTATATACGCTCTCTTCATTTCTCGCAGATTTTAGGTAGATCAACAATTTTACTAAGGACATATGCATTTGTACATTTAACCGCCCAACACGTTTTATTTTTTCGATTTATAGGAAATTATCGTTTTTCCATTTATCGGCTATGGTAATTGTAATGGTTAGAGACTTGTGTAGCGCATAACACATGATCTCTGTGCTGTAGAAAAAATAGCAAAATCTATTCCCGTAGGTCATGCTAAATAAATATAAGAAATCAAACTAACGCGGAAGAGCCAACACTGATGCAAATTTTTTTTGTAAATGTTAATATTGATGAAGCAATATAATAACAAAAAATATCTAGCTTCAATTTAGGACATTTTGGAAGAGCAATTTAAACTATATGAGCGACATTTCCGGGAATTTTTGTGCAATCCCATAATATAAGCTTTCCTCTTTCCCAAGGTGAGACTGATGTGGATGTTTATTTTTCAGCAAGCAACCCCGTGGGCATCATTTCCATAAATATTATTTTGAAAACATCTTTATCTCAGCGGTTATTAATGTATTTGTATTGTATGTTTCTTTAAATATATGATATGATTTATTTATTAATGAAGCCCAAACACATTTGAAACATTCCACAGTTTCTCAACCGAACTGTTTGTTGGTTTTAGAGAAACTACAGTATAATTCTTCAAAACAAACGTATACTTTATTGCAACAGGCATAAATGTAACGGACAGATAACTGCCGACATTTTAGACCCTTCGCCGATATTTGTTTATCGAAGACGATGTAAATCATTGTACCAAGTCCTGGATCACCTGATGCTTTAATATAAAAAAGCTCTTCCATAATATGTAGGCCAGGTCTATCACGGGATAAGTATAGATCATCAGAATTATGGTCATCTTTAAAAGATTGATTCCACTGGCGACCGGATGGAAATGTAGTCCCTTCGTTGATTTATGTCAGTAATCTCGCATAGTATATAAAATAATTTCAATCTTTGTATGGTGATGTGTCCTCCCAAACCGCTTGCCAAAAGTACGTTTGGCAAGAAATTGTGGTAGTGGAGTTGAGGGAACGATTGTTTGTTTCGACAACTATTTTTAGAAAGCTTGGCCTACTCAAGTTCAGTTTTTCATCAGTACTGGAAAAACATAAAATAACGATTTTCTCCAAACCTAAATTAATATTATTAGGATTTCCCAAATCCATGTTAAGTATTGTTCCAACTGTACTAATTATTATTAACATAATTGCGTATCTTACTTAGTCACCTACTAGAAAATTCAAGGTAGAGTCAAAAGTTTTTTTTTATGCGTAATTTGTCTATTACTATTTATTTAAAGCGTACTCTTATTCGTAATGATAATGAGGATGATGACAATGATGATGATGATGATGATGATGATGATGATTATGATGATGATGATTATGATGATGATGATGATTAGGATGATGATGATGATGATATTTAATAATGAAACCATCCATATATAAATCTAACACATGTCATCGATGTACCAAAGTTATTGATGTGTCTTGTCAGAATTGGTTACTGACAAACTCAAACCAGTTTACTTAGATGATTAGATCATGGCCTACACGAAATAATTCAAAGTTTCAGAAACAGAGGGAGTTCTACAAGAAAATTACAACAGCCCCGAAGGGGACGTTAATGTGCCGATTACTTTAATTAACACATACCCGCTGTTGCTGAACATGTTTTAGAAATCGCAGCAACACCACAAAAGTTTAAACCTGGCAGAAACTTCTTCTGAGCTGGTAACAGTGTGATCTTTTGATTTGAATTTCTTTGTTTCTGAGCTTTAAAAATGTTTGAAAAATTAATTTTCTTTGCTCTTTTACCGCTTTTTGCAATTGCAGCACCGTCTTCACGTAAGTAGTACTAATTTTAGTTTGATCTACTTATACTTGTTTAAATTATTAAATAAGTTAATGTCCTTACCCAGCTACATTTTTTACGTTATAGAGTTTGCTGAGTAGTGCCTAATACATAAAGCCTCAGTTGCAATTAACATTTTAGAGAAAATCATAATTAACAGATTTTTTAAGAATACCTTATAAAGCATTCTATGCTCGCTAATGATGAAAATGTATAGGCCTAATATTCTCTGTGATATTAGAACAAGATTATTCTTTCAGATGTGGGAAAAATTGCTAGGGAGCATTAGTTTGGAAGGCAATCTTGTATTTTTACATACAATACCGTACTAAATATTTGGGAAAAAATGTTTTTATACGATTAACACAAAACGCCTGCTCTGGAGGGTGTAAACATTCGCATCCATTTTACTTTGAAATTGTTTAAAGTTATTTCATTAGTAATAATATTACGTGCTTGAAAGGAACCACAGTAGTTTTGTTTCTGTAATGATGTTTATAGCATTTACAAGTAGTAAAATTACGCCAGAACTATCTTCGTATTCCTGTTCTCGTTGATTTTTCTGTGTTTATTGTCATTTTTTTAAAGTTATTTTAATTTGTGATATTGCATTTCTTGCTGATATTAAAAAACATCTGGGAATACAATATTAGAAAAACCTGAATTAAGTAAGGAGAATGAGGAGACTTAGATCAAAATGCAGCCTGTTATAGTAATCAATTTTAAAACTTTTGCTGTGAACGTTTGTAAATCAACCAAACTGTTTTGATGTGTGTGTCTTAAATGTTATTTGACTCTTTTTTATTTTTTTTTATCAGAGATTCAGATTTAGATTTATTTCTTTATCTTGTCCATTAGGTGCAAAAATACATCGCAGAAAAACAAAAATATACTAATTAAAGGGTATAGGCCTACATTTTTTTTGTAAGTAATTAAGTGTATTTTAGCAAGTGTATTTTTTTTTAACCAGCTGCTATTAAAACTTCTCATGGAGTATTGTACAAATGAATTATGATAACGCTTAGCTTTACAGGTGATGGATTTTAACCTCCTACCATATGGTAACCGTTGGTAGAGATAAAGCATGAGTAATAATATCGTTCATTATACATTTCATCATCTACTATTCTTTCAAGGTAAACGTCATTTAACTGTTTATTCCTCTTTCTTGGAAAAAAATAGAAAGGAAAAAAGAAGAAACAGAAATTGACTTATTGACTTTTTTTAATTAAGGTTTTTTTTTTATCTATGATTTTGTAACTTATAGAATGATATTTGCGATAACATGTATACGGGAAATTAATAATGTTATATATACATTCCATATTCCCAGCTAACAATTTTACGTAGCAATACCGTTGCAGTTTGATATTCATCAAGTGTTTTTCAGAATCATTAACGTGGAGCGTTGATCCAAAGTTTCATTTTTGTAATTTTGTGACATTAAACCACAACATTCACAACGTTATCGAATGCAATAATAACGTTTTGTGTTTGCTCGCTCATAGAATATATAGTACGGATTGAATGATTCGTTTGTTTTTATTTTTGTCAAAGAGTGGAAAATACCGTGCTACAGTTATTGTACGGTATTGTACATGTCCATATTATATATTTTCATTATGAAAATCAGATGATCCTGCCTTACTGAATTCACATGTATTGCTTTGATATAATTCAAGCCTAAGTCGAAATAAGTGATATCATAATTATGATTCAATGGCAATATGTGCTAATTTTGCCAAAAAAGAGAGAAAAAAAAAACGGATTTGATTATTATTATAACTATTATTTTATCATTATTAATTTATTCAACACGCTTATTATTATAAATACTGACATGTGTTATTATTTTCCCAGACACATGTGTTTCGCTTTGAATTCGTTAGAGATGCAATTTTATTCAAATTTATTTCTCAATAGTGCCACTTAATAGGTACAGCTAACTTAAAGTTGATAAATAACAAATATCCGATTGAAACAGATGTCTTCCAAATTCCACGATTATCCTCTTAATTCTCCACTGGATAAATGGCAATGTCTTTTTTTTCTCATTCTTTCATTTCAACGCAAAAAAAAAAAAAAAAAGCAAAAAAAAAAAAAAAAAAAAAAAAAAAAAAAAAATAGAAAAGAAAAGAAAAAGGGGAAAAAAACAGTTTTCTGTTTCTTTCTTAAACTCCTCTGTCTTTTTGGCCGTAACCACTTTTCTCTCCTAGCCTCTTCTATTAAATTTCTAAAGCCGGGAAATTGCTGTGCTGACGGTCGTCGGCCGACGTGATTCTATGAAGAAAGCAGAGCGACGACGCGCGCACAACGGATCGTTTTAAATGACGATCCGTTCAGAGTGTCACCGACAATCACCAAACGGCGTTGCGTCGTCTAGTGCTCTCAGGGAGCCGATTCGGATCCATCGTTCGGCGTTTGTGGGACCGTTGTACGACGTAGTGAGTGCCCGCCTTTAAAGTTTCCTTTCGTCACAAGCTGATCTGTATTCGGTCTTTGAGGTTTACTTTTTTGGATTCATATTTCCGATTGGTTGGCCATAAATTCTTTCTGTCCTCACTTCTCATATTGCAATGTTGATATTCATTTTGATCTTAATATTTCTTCTCTCCTCACACCCGACATACAGTTTGCTTTTCAGATGTAAGCCCCTTCTCTGCAACCTTTGGCTTTTCAGTTCCTGTAACGGTCAAACATTATTTCTGTTATTTTTTGAAATGTTATTATTGCTTCTGATCTTGATTGCTTGAGTTGCAAATACACTTGGAATTTTTAATCAGCTTTCTGATTATAGGCCTATTTATTATTATTTTAAATTCAAGCAGCAAATCTATTAGTTACGAACTTCTAAAAATCGTGGGTTAATAAAATATATAATGTTGGTTTAAAAGGATTTCTAAAAATGACGGTAGCGTATCATCAACCTGTAGTTTAAAGTTGAGGTCGTGTGAATATCAGCCAATCAGAACTCAATATCTTACGGGCTATCGTGATACGCAGTTTATTATAAAGTGGAAATTCATGAAGCCGTGTTTTGAATAATGCGTTTCATACCCTATAGCGACTTTATCCCCTACCCTCTCTGGAAGTTTGATATTACGGTGCCAAGAGGTCATGACACAAGATTACTAAAGGATGGTTTACGGATTAATGAACCCTTCGTTCTTTCCTAGAATTTAAGGATCAACGTGTGGTCATGATTCAAAAGTCATGTATCATTTTTTATTAAGCAACATTCCTTATTGTCTCTAGTATTAAAATACATGTAATAGTAATAGATAAACATCCAAGTAGGAGATAAGTTGTGTGACAAGGCGATCATAATTGTCGACAAAGAATAGCGGGAATATGAGGATGAAGTTCTGGGGCTGTCTCTTATACACATCTAGATGTGTATAAGAGACAGGGCCAATTGAATTTTAATTTTTCATAAACAGAGTATAAGTCCCCCACCAAAACCTGCCAAATTTTATGTTATATATATGATATATATATATAGAAATATATATATATATATATATATATATATACCTATATGTATAGGTCTATATATATATATAAATATATATATATATACCATTACCGCAAGACGGTTTAGTTTTTATCTCTATCATATTATGATTTATATAGGCCTATATACTATATTTAATATAGGCATATATTATTTATAAGCCTTTAATATAGTTACAAGCTTATATTTTCATATTAAATATATAAATATATTATACGATACGATACTGTAAAACTTTATTTCACAGCGATGTAAATACAGGTATGAGATAGATTCTTAAATAATATAACTATAATAATTATAATTATATATTTACATGTAAATGTATAAATATATTATGTTATATGACTTATATAACATGGTCTGAAAGCCATTTTATTGCTAAAACAACACGACATGGGAAATAACTTTTAAACATTTAATTTAAAATTTGGTTTACATTGTTTAAACCATATATCATTATTCTAACCATATGCTCTGTTGAAATGTGAACCGTGTAAATGTGTCCAATAGTCTGATTGACAGCACCTCGTTATACAACGAAAGTCTCCCATAATAGTTAAAAATAGAAATAGTATAACCTGGGGCAAGGATGCCAAATGATATTCAACTTCAAGGTGCGACAGTCCTTCCAAATGATAAAGGTGATGCATCATCTACTTCGTCTTCTCACGTAAAGTCAATAGAAATATCATGGAAAGCATCTAACAGCGGCAGCTTGCTCTTCTCATCGGTGATCTGTAGTTATCCGGCCGCAAATTTCTCTGACACAAACCCTGCAGTTGTTATCATTAGATATAAACATTGTCTTCTTTTTTGACAGTTTATATATATTTAAGAGGGAGTTTGTGAAACTAGTGGAGGTACTATTTCAGTTGATTGATGCCGTAGATTAACATTAGTATCGATTGTAGGACAGTTCTAAATTTGCCCCAAATACTGAAGTGCTATCTCTAGAATTAGAAGCAATTTATCGAAATCCAATTAAGTCTTTCTTTAAACATTTGAACATTTCTGTAAAACAATAACTAATATGTAAGTTTAAATACAAAATTAAATAAGCAATGTTAATGCATCCCATCTTAACATCCTGATTAGGCAAATTACTTTTTTCCATTGTTATCATTTTCATTGAAATGATAATTCTCTCTCCCTTTTATAAAGCAATTATTCATGTTCATACGCCTAATATGTGAACGTACTTTAATGTTGGTCAATGTTCGGTTTACCCTAAAGAAATAAACTTTAGTAAAGATGTTGTTATTCTCTCATTTGTAGACTAACACATATCCTTAAATTGATTACCATTACAGTATTAAAATAAGGAATAAATACGTGTACGTCTCTGTTAAGAAGATCATTTTTTATTTTAGCATTTGCATCAACACTTTTCCATGTTACCTTGGAATAAATCATGATTACGAGTCCCTTTTGGACTATTGAGGTCGCAGTAACCATATAAATTAGTGTAGGTCTACAGTAGTTTACTTTCTTTGGGTTTTTTTCTACAAATATTGTTTGTCAGAACTTTCAAGGGATATAAAAAACACCTTTTCCAAGCCATACACTCAATCAAGTGGGCGCCAGGCGACGTGATTCTACGGAGAACACAACGTCACGAAGTGAGCGCAACGGTTACTTTTTAATGACAATCCGATCAGACTGGCCACCGACAATTCAGCAGTCGGTCACAGAGAAGCGCGCGCAACGCTTAGTCTGCCATAAAAAAAAAAATCAACAGAAAGGGTCGCTTCGTCAAGCGCTCACAGAGAGCGTGGTTTGTCTGCTGACAGTCCTGTACGATAATGTGTGTGGCCGGGTTTATGACGGTTGACCTGGCTGGATTAAATCTCTGATAAAACCAACGGGCTGCCTTTGTCAAGCGTCATTACATCAGTCTTTTATATAGAACTAATAATAAGGAACTTTTCGTTGACAGGCTATGCTCAATACGACCATTTATAATTTTAGATTCAACTGTAACGGTCAATCCGTCCGAGCTGTTTGCCGCTACAAACCAAGATCATCGCCTTACATGTACAGTCCAAAAGTCAGGCCCAGCCCCCACACTTTATTGGACTAAAGACCATGGAAAACCACTGACGTCTGGTCTCAAGTATTACATCTCGTCGGTTAAAGAAAATGGGGACCATTGGGAATTTTCACTGATTATACGTCAAGCACAACCAGAGGATGCGGGAGAATACACTTGCTACGTACGGGAAACAGGAGCATCTTTTTCTGTGCAATCTTACTTTCGCCCTGGTGAGTAGCCTATTTTCGTCGGCTCACATTTAAACAAGTACACCAGTTTAATGTGAAGTCAACATAAACTGAGGCTGCCAAATGTTTGTGTAATAAATCATTTAAGTTAGTCAATAAAGTTTTACTGTTATCTTAACAATACTAACACGGCTTCACCCAATGTTTACTTATTAGCTGTCCATAACATTTTGCTTTAGCCTAATTTTGGCCTACAGCGTCCTCTGTCGGTAGATGAAACAAGCGTCAAAAGATTAGTTTATTAGTATGTTGGCAGAATAACAGAAGAATATAATTCTTAATTCGTTGGTTTTGTTATTGATAAAAATGCATAGGAGTGAAATTAAGTGTGTGTGTGTGGGTGTGTGGGTTTTCGTAACAAATTACAAATCAATTTTATATACTGTAGAGAAGGAGTGTACTAAAGGATTCCGATGCATCAAAAGCGGGAAATGCGTTTCTCAGGATGTAATCTGTGATGGAGTGCCAGATTGTACAGACTCTTCAGATGAAAAGAACTGTGGGCAAGGTAAAGCCTAAGTTACAGCGGCTGTAATTATGGTTACAGCCGTCTAAGATAATTGTTCCAGGCCAGGTCTCTGATGCCCACAGGATGCCAAAATAATCATATGTCTACCACACCCTCTTTCACTTACACTACCCTAAAGAATACTAAATTTCCGTATTGTCGCGCAGTTTTCGGTGTTCAAAACGTGCAACTTTAAAGTCGTCAGACACTAATTTGCTGTGATTAAAGGTACTAATAGTGTCCTAAGCCAAAATATCTCTTCGCTAGACGCCCACCTCATCTACCCCCAGGCAGCATCATGATTAAACCCATTCTCGAACTTGTTTGACACCCCTCGATTGACCAATTCCATCAGTATTCCATCAGAAACGTCTCTCTACAAAACGGTCTAACACGGTCTTCATGTAAACTCCGATAAGGGGTTGTCAATGTAGTGTAGTCAGGTTCTCAACATATCAAATCTACAATATCCATTAGGGGTGGTTTTTGCTGTGTAAGAAAAATGCATATAGGCCTATCTCAACGGATAACAGTCTGCAAGATTCTGTTTTTGTTTATTCGCAGAGACGTCTCGGTGCCAGGAAAATGAATTTGTATGTGCCAATAAAAGGTGCATACCGGCCGTCTGGCGATGTGATGGGCAGAACGACTGCAAAGACAATTCAGACGAAGAAAAGTGTCGTAAGTTAAACATCGAATGATAAAGCTATACAGTGTTACGTATTTCACTTGCAAATATAGGTCGATTGTGCTGTAATTATTATCGTTAGGTTTGGCTCTGCGAAAAAGCATCGCAACAGTAATACAAAGTTGCTGTTGCGATTCCTGCCATCATCAGTTCCTACTTCATTAACTCCGCTAAAATAATTTTAATCATTACCGGTACTTATTCTTAATTAACTTATGTAAGTAAAGTTTATTCTTGTGTGGTGCTTTATATACAAACTACAATAAAGGTGGTAAACACTATCATTCCTATATTCAATTTCAATTCTTATTTATTCCACAAATGTCACAATTAAACATACATTTTACATATCACTTTTTTTATATGTGGAAAATGAGCAGATGCTTGATTAAACCAAGAACTTAAAAGATTTTTGTTGTTTGTTTAGCTACGGTGACTTGTGATGCTAACCATCGCATGTGCCACAACAGCTCACAATGTATTCCTCTGAGATGGTTCTGTGACGGAGACTCCGACTGCCACGATAGTTCTGATGAATCTGAAGAATTCTGCCGTAAGTACTACTTACTTGACTGGGGCTGTAGCGTTTTGGTTATTAGTTTTGCCTTACAATCCTAGGGTCACGTTTTCTGATCGTGTTGCAGGTTGTTTTTTTTTTTTTTTTTTTTTTTTATCCGTTCTACACTTTTAAGATTGTGTCCACAATTTCAAGATTTATGTGACAAGTGTGTATAATTTACCCATATTGTCATGATAATGTCGTATGACAGGGACATCTCGCAGGTATTCATCAAACATGATATTGTTATTCACAGAGATTTGATTTTTTTTAATTGTTAGTAGGCTGCGTTCATCACCTGCCTCTTGCCTGGAAACCGGATGTCTTCGTACTAGATACCGGATTTATAAAATTCAAAAAGTGGAATTTTAGTATAATTTTGCATGTGTTTTCTGTTTAATATAGTTTGAAAACTGATAATAACCTTTATTGCATGTAGGCCTAATCCATAATGTTAAATTTCAATGACTATTTATGCTCCCAACTTTAAATGGAAGCAATGTTTATGGAGTTGCCCCTCGTCATCAAAAATCGTAAATTGATACTTGCCATCGTGCCAAATTGTAAGCAGTGAGAGTCTGTTTGAAGTATTGAGTACTAGGAAGGGTAGACACCTTCATTTTATTCCATATAGGGCGTCGGCTTACCTTTAATCAAATATTAAGTCGGAATGCATATATTTCAGGTTATTTAGAGTGTCCAGTTGGGAACCAACACTGCAGTACCGAAGACCCCAACAAGTTCCGATGCATTCCAAACGAATGGTTCTGTGATGGAGAGGTCGACTGTCATGGAGGCGGAGATGAAACTGACTGTGAGAACAAATTGATTACCTAAATCACATAACTATTAATTATAAAATTGGCTATCTGAAGTGAAACATAAATGTTGTATAACATTATTAAATATATATTATATAAAATGCATTTGAATCATAGTTTTTTTTTTCATTCCAAAGTAAATTTTATTTAAACAATTTGTAATTAACATTTCAAAAAAAAATATTAACATTATGATAAAAATATTAGATATTATAATTTTACAAATTGATAGCCATAGTATATCTGTGATGATAGTGATGTTGATAATGCATATACAGATGGTGGTTTTAGTCAAAATGATGATGATGATGATGATGATGATGATGATGATGATGATGATGATGATTATGATGATTATGATGATAAATGATGCGGTTGCTGCTGATGATAATGATGTTGATTAGACGAGGAAGACGACGGTAACAACGACAATGACAGTTGTCTGCTCAAAATGAGAGGGGGGAAAATCAATTTTATTTCCAATCAGGTGACAGAGAAGAAAACAATGCAACACCAAGTCCTTCCTCTTGCGGCTACAATGAGTTCATGTGTTCGAATGTCAAGCAGTGCATACCATTAGCTGCTAGATGCAACAATTTACGGGATTGTGTTGATGGCACAGACGAAACACGCTGCAGTAAGTTACATATACGTTATTAGTATTTCAGTTTAGAAGGTCTAATATGCTCTAATTTAATAAAGCTCATCATCCACATCATATAGTAAAGATTGAGGTATTTGTAAAAAGTGACAGGTTCAATTTCCAATGAGGTTATTTTGTTGGTTTTTCGTTTTCACTTGTATTGATTGACATCGATATTTTCTTATAATTAAATTGTTGATGGATCTGGGGACATGGGTCAGGGTTCCTTACAACCACCCAACCCCTGGAAAAAACAAATTTTAAAAATTCGACCTACTTTTCAGAACCCGCGTGTTTTTTTGTTTTTTTTTGTTTTTGTTTTTGTTTTTTTTTTTTTTGTTACAATGGGAAAATTACAAGTGGGAAAAGCTAATTTCTGCCATCTAGGAATCAATTGTTTTCTGGGGGAGGACCCTCGACCCTCCTTCCTTTTTGGGGTTTATTTATTCGTTGAAAAAGAATACGTATACAACTACTCAATTTCTTTATGTACGTATACACACATAAATAGGCCTATTAACTGTAATAAGAGTGAGAAAGTCTAACTCACCGTTTTCCTTGAACCTTAAATTTTGAAGAATTTACAAGTAATTAAAGGACACCTCAGAATTCGAGAAAGCTCATTTCTCGCAATCTAGGAATCAAAATTTTCCCGGGGAGGACCTCCTTTTTTTATGGTGGGGGGGTTGTAAAAATATGTTTATACAACCAGTGTCGAGTGTGTTAACACCAAAATTGTATCGCTCCGAGCATCTAAATCTTAATCCCTAAATTTTGAATATCAAACAACATAAAGTCATTTAAAGCCGCCTTGGATTCCATCAAGATAAATAAATTAACAACAAAGCTCATTATATTATTTAGTTGCTACACATCGACCAAACCACCGTACGCGACAACCAGTATGTTGGCGTTTGTACGTTAAGATACAGATACAAAATGTAAAGTCCATGTAATATCACAGTGTACAATCTTTTCTACTCTCGAGTTTCCAATCGCACTGTGCTTCACACCAACACATTTACTGTCAGACGATTTCACCAGGTATTCTTTTATACTCGGGATGAGATCACAAATTATGACTCAAAAGACTGACCATCGGACTATGATGATTATTAGGTAACCAATGCCGTAGCCAGCTATTGGTACAGTTTGGGGCAGTCCCACACAATTTTCTCTAGACTGGGTCTACAAAGAATGGGTCCACATTTGTTTAAAATGGGTCTAAATTATGCAGTTTTATGCAAAAATGAGTCCGCTTTTTGAAAAAAGTGTCCAGGATTCTTGTATTTTTATAGAATTAGTAAACTTTTAAGACAATTGGTCCACATTTTTTATATTTTTTTGCGTAAAATGGGTAAACTTTTAAGAAAATGGGTCCACATTATTTGAATTCACACGTAAAGTAGGTCCACCGCGATATTGTCCCACACTGTTGGAAATTACTGACTACGGCATTGTAGTACGTAACATACTTTTTTTTTTATTATGGTTCTTTAAACCTAATATAAGTCGCAATTTGTGTTACTTTAGCTCCTAATCAACCAATTACATGTGGTGTTAATCAGTTTAAATGTACCATTGGTGAATGCATACCAAAGCAATTGACTTGCAACCAAGTGCGTGACTGTTCCAACGGAAAGGATGAAGAAGGATGCTGTAAGTAAAACTCTGTGTATTCATTTATTAAATAATAGTGTTATTGTTATTGTTGTTGTTGTTGTTGTTGGTGGTGGTACGTCTGGTGGTGGTGTTGTTGGTGTTTGTGCTGTTTTTCGGTGTGTGCTGGTGGTGGTGTGTTGTTGCTGTTGTTGTTGGTCTTCTTGTTGTTGATTTTCTTGTTGGTGGTGGTGTTGTTGTTGGTCTTGTTATTGATGCTGCTGTTGGTGTGGTGGTTTTGTTGTTGGTGTTGTTGATGGTGTTGTTGTTGGTGGTGGTAGTCTTGTTGGTGTTGTTTTTTATGGTGGTGGTAGTAGTGGTGGTGGTGGTGGTGTTGCTGTTGGTGGTACTGTTGTACCACCGGCAGCTGTAGTTGTTTTTGATATTGTTTGCATTGTTGTTGGTAGTGAGTTGTTGGTAGTGAGTTGTTGGTAGTGTTGGTGGTATTGTTCTTGTTCTTTTTCTTACTGTTATTGTTATCGCTTTTGTTTTGTTCATGTTATTGCTGCCGTTGTTTTTGTCATTGTTATTTCCATTATTATTTTATTATCATTGTTGTTGCTTTTATTACTGTTATTAGTATTCTTAACGTCCTTGTTTTTGTTATCACTATTAAGCATATTTTGTAAAAACGAGTTGCAAATTCAATCCTAGTGGCAATATTTTTGTTTCAACTAAAAATGAGCATGTAACCCTTAAATTCTCCATGTTATAGCTTGCACAGAGAAAGAGTTTAGGTGCGAATCCAGTGGTTCCTGTATTCCGCACATGTGGGTATGTGACAAGGAGTCGGACTGCAGTGATGGGAGTGATGAGAACAATCAAATGTAAGTTTGTAAGTAAGACAATCATCGTAAATGTATTTTATAGTCATAATTATCGAATACATTATTACAATAATTTGGTATTGCTATTATTATTAACGTGTAGGTGTGACTCGATAAAGGATTTAACTTGTGATGCAGAAACCCATTTCCGATGCACAAGTGGAACGTGTATCGCCAGAGGTTGGCGATGTGACGGAACGGATGACTGTGCTGACGGCTCAGATGAGTCTGATTGTGGTAAGAAATTTCAGATTATATAATATTATCATTGTCGTCGTGACCACCGCCGCATTTTATGTCGTCGTAGACACTGTCATTATTATTACATTCATCATAGTTATTACTATCATTATCATGAGGCCCATGATTATTAATGAATGGAGTGCTAACATTAATCATATAAAATTTATTCATATTAAACTTTATTAAGCCACGTGTAAATCAACAACACAGAGTTTAGGGGTAAACATTGGTGGGTGTTACTAGCTAAGCCCACAGAGCGCCCAAGAATTTTGATCTGAGTGTTGCATTTTGGACACATGAATGGAGGGAATCACCCTCAGTGGTAAAAATACGTTTTCAATTCTTGTCCGGCCATACTTACCATCGGATACAAAGTGGTAGTCTGAAAAGCAATGCGTTTTTTGTTTCTATTTTTTTTTTTACAGACCCGCATCCTTGCACTATGAGTAACGGTGGGTGCGACCAGCAGTGTGAGGTTGTCTCGGCAACTAGCCATCGCTGCACTTGTTTCCCTGGTTACAGTTTTGACGAAGAAACGCAAACATGCAATGGTAAAAGAAAATTGAGATTTTATTTATATTTCATGGTGTAATAATTCATTGGCTGTTGCGATAGTCAGTGGTTGTAAGTCTATATGCAGTTATAAACATTTTAGCGTACAATATTAAGTTTATTGACCTTTGATATGCGCATACGTAGTTAAAAGTACGAAAGGGTTATTACATTGTATCTCTTATAATGTTATTTAAACTAATACAACTATTTGAGGCGAGACTTTTTTAATACTTTTTTTTGCGATAAGATCATCAGAGGAGGGCGGAATAAAAATAAAAATAAAATCTTGTTTTCTTATTTAGCAAATAGTTTTGCCAAAAATACCCAGAGGGAGGAGAAAATGAAAATAAAATTTCATTGGTGAATGTAAAATGGGATGGTTAAATGCTTCAAATTTATATAATTAGGAAGAAATATACATATCCTATCTTTCGAGATTTCAAGGCAGCGTGGCGTAATAAAGAAAAACTGTAATTTTTTTCTGAAATTTCTATTTTTCGTGGCGGCGTGTGCGCTAATTGGCCAAAAATAAAATTTTACTTTTATTTGAAATCATCAATATTTGCATTCGGCGGGTTCGCTAAACAAGGTATAAAAAAGTCTCGCTTGACGGCTAAATTGCTAAATAAAGAGGGTTTTTACATTGGATCTCTTCTAATGTTATATAAACTAAAAATAGAACTACTGTGACGGCTAAATTGTAAAGCATGTGAGAGTTAAAAACAAAGAATTGGAAGGGCTTTGGGTTCAACTTGAGGGTTTTTTGTGTGAGGCCACTAACTTGTTCCGGGGTAAGTACTTTGTCTCGGTATAAGCCGATTCTGTTATAATTGCAATTGAAACTAATTTTACTAGAAAATTTTACAGAAAGCAATAATTGAATATATGTACGTGTACGTTATTTTTTACTCAGATATCGACGAGTGTTTGAAAACTCCGTTTCCATGTATGTACGCATGCATGAACCTTCAGTCCACGTACAAGTGTGTCTGTCCAAACGACTACCACATAACAGAGGACGGACGGACGTGTGTTCACGACAGTCCACGGCAGCCGGTGTTAATTGTCGCAAACCGACGATCTATAATGAAGCTTGACACGGCCACAAAGACTGTTACGACATTGGTTGGTGGCACAACTGGTGCAATTTCCGTCGAAGTTGACCTGTATCAGCACGTGCTATATTACACAGATGTGGCAGTTGAGAAAATCATAAGGTCGGTGCTCACAGCACGCCCTCTACAGCAAACGTTTAGCATGGGATATCAACTCTTCCAATGTATAACTATAGTGGAATTATACAGTATACTTGGACCTATTGTACATCAACCAATGGCAAACGATAAAAAAGACCTGCTTATTTGATAAATCCTATCCCTGTTGCTCTACTTTTCTCAGGGCGGGTTGTGCAGCCAATTGGCACTACAACCCCTTCTGCTATTTGTGTCATAGTGTATCGTTTTAAAATCTGAAGTAAGATTTGGTTGCACATTCAATTCCAATGGTACTAAAATGGTATTATACTGTGTTTCTTTTAAATAAAGTATTTGATTTGATTTGATTTTGATTTGATCTGGTTTGATTTAATTTGGTTTGATTTAATTTAACAGTGTGCAATTGACATCTGATGAAGACTTCCAGAAGAAAGGTCGATCAAGCGTGACGGTACTTAACGATGGAATTATGACACCAGATGGCATTGCTATCGACTGGATCCATCACCACTTCTATTGGACTGACACCGGCACCAACACACTGGAGGTAGCCAGCATGGATGGAAGCCTCCGCAAGATCTTGTTCAGTGACCTTGACGAGCCAAGATCCATCGTTTTGGATCCATCAGATGGGTGAGTTGAACACTTATTATCTCAATAGCTATTACGGTATAAACAAAACCGATTTACACAAGATTCCGCTTTTATCAGACTTGTCTTACGGAGATTGACAAGACAAAGTAGACGTTGATCAACGCTCCACCAAAGTTAGACTTGCCACAAGACTGTAATTTATTGGTTATTTCCTAGTGTTTTCGGAGAGCGCCACCAACGTTTGGTTATGTCGAGAAACATTTAATGCTGTTGAATTTGAATCGCGGAATTTAAACGGAAATTGCTAAATACAACCACTTCAGCCAAGGTCGAGGCGTGGCTTGTATGGTGACGTCATACATAATTTTAACATCTACTGGAATCCATCCCAATCTACACCAAAGTGTGATGGCTCCAGCAAAGTGTGGTTGAGCATGGCAAGAAAAGATATATGATAATGACGATGTCAATCACTGTTATGATAATGACGATCATGGTGGTAACTGTAATATGACGACAACGATAATGATAACAATAAATATTGTTATTATAACACTAAGTTTTATAATTATATTTCTGACTATATTGTGATAGCGAGTAAAGCATGCAGTCCCTGATATGGTGATGAAGGTGATGGTTAGGGTGGGGATGATGACAACGATAATGATGAAGATAATGTTGATATGGTGAAGATGATTACAATAATGATGCAGATGATGATGACAATGATTTGTACAAACCTATTCGTTTAGAGTTTTGTATTATATTAATTCAATACAGTTATAATGGTAACGATATAAACATTATGAGGACCATTGTAAAAAAAAAAATCATTTCACAGTTTATTCTTCGAAACTGAACATGATTCAATGTAAACTTTGAACTTTCAGAAATATGTACTGGACTGACTGGGGCTTCATACCTAGTATCTCAAAGAGTGGAATGGACGGTAGTGGGCGTCACACCATAATCACCGAAAACATACACTGGCCAAATGGTTTGACAATTGACTACGATGCGAGGAAGATCTACTGGGCCGACGCCAAACTTGGTCGCATTTCTTGTTCAGGCCTAGAGGGAGAAAACATCCGTGTTATCTTGGAGGGTGAAGAATACTTGCCTCATCCATTCGGCTTAGCAGTGTTCGATGTTAGTAGATTTATTTTTCCTCATTGTTCCTTTTTTGGTCATTTTGTCTTTCTTTTTTTCTTTTTTTTTTTTGTCTTTGCATTATTAATGTATACTCTGATTTGTTTTGATTTATGAATATAAAAATGATATTATTTTTTTTTATAACTTTTCAGTATTTTTTAATTCCTCTCGATTGACTTATATGAAGCTCTATGAATTAAGAACGAATAAAAAATACACTAAAGCCTGCAAATATTATTCAAATAAATTGTGTGCACTGTAGGACACACTCTATTGGACAGACTGGGATAAAGAGGGCGTCCTCTCCGTTGATAAACATACTGGAGGAAATTTCCAAGTCATCCATAGTGGTCTTGGGTCGCCTATGGGACTCGTTGTTGCCGATCGGTCTCGTATGTTCCGCAACAGTAAGTAGACGTAATTTTTTCTTTCTTTTTCCTTTCATTCTTTTTTTTTCTTTATTACAATTTTGTATACACAATTTTAAGTTATATATAAATATCAGCACAATGAAACACGAAAAAACAACAACATTACATTCAGAATAATAATAATTTTTTAAAAAACGGTGCATAGTTAAAAATAGTAAATACAAAATTAAAAAATTGTAAATAAATAACATACTTATTATCATCTAAAATAATATACAATTCCATTTTTATGCAATGTATCACTTCTGTTATTGGTTAGGAATCCAGTGAAATTTTTACTTAAAACAAATGGTAATGGTTATAGTGATGCTTGTATTGTTTTAAGTAAAGTTAATATAATCATTGAGACCCTCATAACCCGCAGAAAAAATAACGGAACAGTGTAGCGCCATATCGGTCATTTTCCCACATTCGGATTTGTCGGTAACCCTGTCACTGAATCATCGAGATCAAGGAGGATCCAATAGGTGCAACTGGAAAATAGCCCCCCCCCCCCACCTCCCGCCGCGCCTTCAAGAAAAGATGGATGGAAAAGCGAGAAGAAAAGAAATAAAGAAATTAAAAGAAATTAAATGAGAAGGAATGAACCATGGTACTCAAATTCAACACCGTGTACCAGAGTTCCATGGTCAAGCATTTCTATGATGATGTTAGTGTTCATGATGATGAATATGGTGACGATGGCGATGATCATGACCACAACGAATATTCTCAGTAATCTGTGATTGGTTATTTACATAATTTTTTTCTATCATTATTCCGAAGGTTCTAGCAATGTTTGCGGCGTGTTGAACGGTGGATGTAGTCACCTCTGTTTGCCCACAACTCGTACATCGGACCCCACACTCCCGTTATACAAATGCGCCTGTCCGGTCGACTACTCATTGAACGACGATGGCAAGACGTGTACTAGTATGTCAGCTACCTCTGACATGGCCGAGAATGCAGGTACAACATTTTAATATTCAGAAACATGAAGGTGTTCTTCCTTCTAGTACTTTGTGATCGACAAAAATATAGATGCAAATAAGGCGCCCGTCGAACAATGGCTATGTTTCTTTTTATAACGCTACTAATTTGCATATATATTTTATACTGGAAACATGAGCCTATTACGGTAAAAATTACCGCCCTTGCGAAATATAAATTATAACATTGTAGTTTTATAGGAACTTGTAGAGCATACACGTAATTTAAAACTTTTGGTTATGTTACTTTAATATTGGAATACCGAATCAACTACACACCATAAGCAAACGCATAGTCCCAATTGTTATCTCATGAGTATTCCTAACAGGTCCGCGTCGCCAGTAACAACGTCACACAATATCCATACTTTTTTCACCCTACATGTATCTTTCATCGGTACAGCGCCATCAGCGAGAGAAGGAAGCCGCGAAAAAGGATTGCTTCGCTCGGAAGTGGCGCTGTTTCGACTCAAAGTTGTATCAAGTTGTAATCATATTGATGATTAGCAGTGGAGGCGCTAGCAGAGGAATTTTTACTACGTCGGATAAGCCTCTGGATCCCATCGTCCGACTCCACGACCAGGTCGTCATACCAAAAATATTAATTTGCCTATACAAATAATGTTATTTTGGTTGCCAATCCTTATCATTGTGGTCTAAAAAAGTAAATTTTGGCCCATTCTAAGCCATAAAAACTCTCCCTATGAACTCTACCAGGATTAATTTTATTCCAAGACCCTCACCGAGGCTCTAGTCTGCCCCTTAGTTCAGACCCCATTGTCGGACATATCGGGCTCTCCTGTCGGAAAATGTCTGGAGCCACCAATGATGATCAGATAATTTTTTTTTCTCCTTTGCACAGACTCTACCAAGCTTATTAGCATCAAGGGTCTGACGAAGGATCTGATCGATCGCCATGACCAGCAATTTAATATGAGGTGCTACGTTGACGACGAATCAATAGATTGCGTACCGGAGTACTCTTCCGATTCGTTGTATATTGACGTCAGCGTAACCACACACACATGCCAAGCACAAAGTACGTAACTAGTTAGTTTCTTTCAATTATTATTATTATTATTATTTGAACGAATTCCTGGTTCTGATTGGTGGTTATTGTTTCAATCTAATCCACGCGCACAATTAACATCCAATTAGAATTTTGAGTTCTTTTAAGACTGTTCTATAAACTATTATTTGAGTATAAGCTAAGTTTCTATATTGTCTAATATTGTTAATTTTAATGTTATTAAATGGGTTTAATGGGGAACAAAAATTAGTGATGGCATCGGGCCATGTATACCTTTTGATCGTTATAAGTATGACTTCTTTTGATAATAATAATAATTATAGTAATAACAGTTGTAGATTTATAAAGGCCCCCTCTTTTTTACCTTTCCCCTAAGGTCATTTCGTGTCTGAGCTACCCGGTAAATCGGTACCCAGCTACTCTCGTCTGTCCACAGCAGGGGCTGTATGGACCAATACACTGGGGTAACCCTCTTTTTTGTCTCGGAAGATGTACTGGGTTCTTTTAGGTCCACATGAGCAAATTGTGTACACTGGGCCTATAGTTTAAAGTCCTTATCGAAGAAGACTTGTTCCACCACCAGACCCATTAGGCGAACGTGCCCCTCACTTTAACGCTTTGGGAGGGCAAAAACCGTAGGTAAAGTGACAAGTCCAAGGACACTTGGGTAATTCACAGGTAGCGTAGATGGTTCGAACCTCAAGCCGGGAACACGCTGCCCCCGACGGTCGTCAGACGACGTGATTTTATAGGAAAACGCAACGCCACGATGCGCGGACAAAAGATTGTTTTCAATGAAGATCCATTCAGACTGCAACCGACAATCAGCAGACGGAGTCGCGTCGTTATTAAACGCTTAAAGGGAGCGTGGTTCGATTCGTACGACGCAGTGAGTGTTAGTTTAAGACGCGAATCTCAACTGCTGCGCCAAACACACCCACTGAGTGCACGATACGTAATTTAATGTTTGGTTATTTTTACTTCACAGATCCATTTACTGAACGTAAAGGTTCGAAGTAAATTTTATAAACCAATGTCACTGAGTCATCTTAAACGAAGGCGGCGAAAAGGTGTCGACACTAAATGGGCCTGGTAGTCAATAATGACCTCAGATAATCGCTGTTTTGTTTTTTCCTTTAACTTTAACATATTTTCCAGGAGTAAGATTAGTCAGTGAATATCCTTATAACCGATAAGAGATACGGTACCGGTGATATTTTACATTACGGTTTTTGTTTTTTGTATTTTTTTTTTTGGTTTTTTTCCTTTTTTTGTATTTTGTTTGTTATTTTATTTGTTTTTTTTTTGTTTTTCTTTTTTTTTTTTTTTGTTTTGTTTTTGCTTTTGCTTTTTGTTAATCTATATATTATTTAGTTGAGCTTGTTCATTAAATACAATATTTCGTTATGCCGCCCTCTATCATGTCGACGGATGGAGGGCTACCCGCTTCTATCAAAGTTTAGTTATAAATTCGTGAAACAACCGTTTTGTTTAATGATATAGGCCTACCTGCTTTACAATTAACTCGTTGGTAAGTATTGTTTTGTAATAAGTAATAAAGATTTATTGACAAAATCCATTTACACCCCCACTGCCAAAAGGTATCATTCACGCAGGAGGCGAGAAACTTCGATATAACACGCAGATCCAGTGTCACACCAATTTAGGTTCCATTGCAAATATAGGTTCCGAACGAACTCATATTTGTGATTTTCCCATGAAAACTGTGTATTATGACTTAGTTGGGGTGTGTGTGGGTGGGATGAGTTCAGAAGAATGCGGATCCACCCTGCAAGGCAATAACAAAGTTCACTGCATAATGAGAAAATTACGCTGCATATTGTCCATGTTACGCTTAGAAACTAGATGCGTTGCTGTGGTTCCGGACATCACATACACCACACATTTTCCTACAAGTCATAATACATAATTTCTTGGGACAACCAAAAGCTAAATTAACCATAAAACTTAAATTTGCAATGGAACCTAATTTAGAATGATACCTGTCCGAAGAATACCTTTATTTGTTGTTCAGAGGATAATTTATTCAGATAAGATTTAACACAAGTAAAGAAAGCCAATACGAAAATATTGCAATGAAACGAGTGTTGTGTCATTGTGCTCCTCGTATACGTATGGCTAAATATTTAAAAAAATGTATTGTGTGTGAATCAAACTATCTGTTTTCCTATAGGTATTAATACTATGTAACTTTCCTTTGAATCTCGTGTTTACCATCCATGACGTCATGCGCATATATTATTTCTAAAATCGTATTTAACGTCAGCCGTCTATTGTATTTTTTTTTTCTAGACTTTATTAAACTGTATGCATTTTTGCAACCAGCTGTTGTATTTTATTTGTTAAGCAATTAGGATATATTGCATGAAAACACTGACACCGTAAGAGTAATACCACTCATTTATCGAGTTGCTCTCAGGGGATGGACGGAGACGAAAAGTACATAAAATATCTATAGGCATTCATAAAAATTGCAAACTTATATACCGGTAGTCTTACATAAATGCGTACAATGAATACAAACTTATATAAAACCACTTTATAAAATTACATAAGATATTTATTTTTACATGTCATTATTTGAAGTTTGTTATACGTCAGTTAAACTTTACATTATACCACTCACAGTATTAGCAGAATAAAAGCGCTTGGTTTGATATATTTTCATCTACAGTAGTTTAAATTTTGTCGTATTTGAAGAGTTAAAATATTGAAAATTAATATTATTTTCCCTACTTCCTAAACTAGTTATTATTGTATGAAGTAACTCAGGATCTCGAACCTGTCTCTCGTCTTCCTTGTCCATTTTGTTCATCATCATAAGCTCGGAAGTATCTTAATAATATTTATACACTTTTTATTCAAACTCCAATGAAAGTCATGCAGCTCTAAATTTATATATAAATAAAGCAAAATGGCCTCTTGAAATACACAAATGGATGGATGGATTTATTCGGTATAAACACCATGGATAACCCATAAACGTCTGAAGAAGGTTTATTTCCAGTTGGGTCCTTCTGATGGTGATTGAGCAGTGAACCGGAAGACAATTATTCCCTACTCTTTTCCAAAGAGTGTACTGCGTTGTTTAAAGTGCACATGGGCCATAGTGGACAAGGGATCAACGGCTTAAACGTCTCATCATCCAATAGACGGTGCTAGTGGTGAATAGGCCCTTTATAACAGGCCTATAGTAGGGCGGATGCAGGGGAAAATTCTTCTTGAGAAAACGAAATAATGATACAAATTAATATTCTACATGTGTCTGTGTTGGCATTGACACTGCGTGTTTTTAGCGTTGTTTTAAAGTAATAACCTATTAGACATTCATATAGACAACAAAACGAATTAAAATATATTTGGCTTAACTATTGTCTTCAGCAACAGTGGTGTATCCAGGAATTATGAAAGGGC